AGGGAAATGACTGGACAAGATGGGTACAAAGTTACAAGTGGCTGAACAGACCAGGGCCTAAAATAATTAAACCCGGATGCCTTTTACCAGTGTTTTGGTTTGTTTGCAGCTTTGGTAGGTTTGACTCAATTTTATCCTTTGTTGTTCCGCTTGGTCCTCATGGAGGTGGCCCTGAATCGTACTTCCTGGGTACCAAGGTGAACCCTGTGAATTCCCAGGTCCCTCTCTCCTCACACCGACCCTAGTGCAGGACCCACACTGGCCCACGAGGAACACTTTGATGCTTAAAGTTTAGAAGTCAAGGCCAGGTGAGGTTTTTGTGTTTTGTTGGTTTTTTTAATGTTTTATTCACACACAAAAAAAATGAGAACGTTCTCTGGTTTGTAAGTAGGTTAGGAGACTAGAAATTCCTTAATACCAAAAAAAGCACTAGAAATTCCTTAATGCCAAAAACAGTGCCTTTCTCTGTTTCACTATTCATGTTAACATCCAGAGCTATTTGTGCTACGTATAGAGGGACATAGAGGGACTTGTGTTCATTTCCTGATGCTTCTGCAACAAAGGTCTGCAAACCGGTGCTAAGAACACCAGGAATTTGGTCTCTCACACTGTTGGAGACCAGAAGTCCAGAACCCAGGAGTCGGCAGGGATGGCTCTTCGGAAGGTTCTCATGGCAGCTGCGTTCCAGCCTCTGCCCTAGAATCCGGTGGTTTCTAGCAGTCCTTGGCTGGGGACGTATCCCCCTGTTGGCTCACGGCCCCCTCCCTGTGTGTCTGTGTCTGTGTGTCTGAATTGCCTCTTATGAAGACACCCATCGTGGCTTAGGGGCCCACTCACGGCAGTATGACCTCTTCATAGCTGATCTGCAGGAGCTCTCATTCCTGTTTGAATATTTTTTTAACATTCAAGGATGGACTCAGACTGGACCCAGGCATGTGGACCCCTGAGGCGCCCTCCCTGAGGCTGGTTGAGGGCCAGATGCGGGTCTTTGGTTTGACCTGATTAGATTTCTGTCAAATCTGGAGGAACCAGCTCTTCCCTGAGCACGGACGCTTCGCCTGGCTTTGGTGGAGCGTCCCCCAAGCAGTGACCGCACAAATCGCACGTCCCCCAGGTGACCACACAAAGCACATCCCTCAGGTGACCGCACACACAGCATGTCCCCCAAGCACCGAATGCACACACCGCACCTTTCCCTGTAGGTGAGTACGTGACTCTTGGTCCCCTCAACAGGTCTCCTTCGAAAGTCAGTGTTTCTTTAGGAAATGCAACAAATACCCACACTTACATTGAAAGCGAACTTTGAAACACTTCCAACGCTAAAGTAGATTCCGTCCCGGGGTTTCCATTCAGGACGGTGCCCAGAACCAGAAAAGACGAGAAACGCTGTCTGCTCAGCTTGTGTCCAACAGCACAGACGAGGGACCCGGGGCCCCTAGGATGCCAGTGCCTGGAGCAGACAGGGCCTCGCTTCTCTTCTGAACAAGGACGGGAGGGGGCCAGACACTGGGCAGGGCTTGAGTGCACCTGTCCCTCAGGGGCGTCATTCAGTGAGCAGAGAACCCGTTGGTTAAGAGGGGGGTTTTAATCCCACTTGGATGAAGACTGTTGAGTGAAAACATACAGACCAGGGATGCGGTAAATTGCTTAATTTATCATGAGTGTGGTATCCGTGTTGAAAAATAAGTCTCATCTGCATTTAGAAATATTTTTAGTTTTTTTTATTTGGGAGAGAGCACGTGAGTAGGGGGGGAGGGACAGAGGGAGAAGGAGAGAGAGAATCTTGAGCAGGCTTCATGCTCAGCTGGGAGCCCAGTGCAAGGCTTGATCCCACGACCCCAGGATCATGACCTGAGCTGAAATCAAGAGTCGGACACTCAACTGAGCCCCCCAGGTGCCTCAATATTTTAAAATATTTTTAGGGGCGCCTGGGTGGCTCAGTCGGTTAAGGATCCGACTTCGGTTCAGGTCACGATCTCACGGTTTGTGAGTTGCAGCCCGCGTCGGGCTCTGTGGTGACAGCTCGGAGCCTGGAGCCTGCTTCGGATTCTGCGTCTCCCTCTTTCTCTGCCCCTCCCCTGTCCATGCTCTGTCTCTCAATAATAAATAAACGTTTAAAAAAATTTTTTGTAAAAATATTGTTAAATCGGCATTTGTAATTATGAGACTTTTGCCTTATTGTGTTTACCCCTAAAATTAATGTGGAAAAGTAAGTGAATTCTTACATCGGTCACCTCTCTCATATTTAGGCTGATGAAAATGAAAATTGGTACAAATATTATGAAGGAACCATGACTGCTTGAAACACATTTAGACACGTGCAGTCACAGACACGATTTGAGAATCAGGACACGTTGGGGCAGTGACACCCTGGGTCGCGGGTCTCGTCGGCACCGACCCTCTGTGTATCTGAGTGTTTTATGTCTGTTATTTACTTTCTTTATCGTGAAAATCCCCTTACGTTTGACCCACACCATCTTGATCGTGTGTGTTTTGCTGGTGGACGTTTCGCTTGTTGGAAGTGTGTTCTTCGTAAGGATGTATTTTATGTTCGCGGTAAAGCAACAGCATCAGGTCTCAGAAAGTAACTCTTTGTTGGGACAGAAGTCAGCGAGTAGATTTCCCAGGCCGTGTGCGTGGACTTTTCGCACAGCGTCCTGCACAGCGCGTGGAGTTATGACGCATTATGACCGGAGGAGGTGGGTGAGGTTCGGGGTCCCGTCTGTCATCGGGACTCCGCCCCGCCTCCCCCTGTGGCCCCTTGAAGGAGCAGACGGTGCCCGTTCTGATGCTGCAGCAGGGAGGCCTGCACCGGGCACGGGCTGAGGACACCAGCTATCTCTTCGCCACCACGTCCGGCCGCGCCGACCCCAGCAGCTGAGATAGGCAGGCTGTGTGACCCTATCATCCAGCTGCAGTCACTGAGGGCCGAGTGGTTCGCTTTCAATACCGAGCTTTGACCCTGACCCCGAAGTGCCCTCATCCCTGAGACTCCAAGCCTCCCAGAAAGAAGGAGTCCTCGGTTCTAAGTCGAAGACGCTGCTGGTCGTAAGGGGCTTCTTGATCTAAATGTGAAAGCGTGAGAAGATGCACCCGCGATGAAGGAACACGGCAGCTAAATTGTATTCGATCGATTACTTCTCCAGTGATGGGTATTGTGTGCTTGGCAAAGAAGACGACATTGCTGTCAGCCTCAAAGCGCGACGTGAAACAAAGACACGAGACTGGATTCACGGCTGACGAACGGACCTATCGAGAAGTGCTTGCCCACCCAAGTTTTACTCTCCTCTGAGTAAATAGGTGGATATGAGAAAACGCCCACTGAGCCACCTTTGGCTTCCTCTGCCACCAAAAGCTTTGTAAATGTGACAGCCAAACAGTTTTCTCT